TTTGATGAAGATCTCACCTTGTGACAGGTCAGGGTCAGTCCAGTCGTTCTTACTGATCCTGTGCAGGTCTTTCATGTCTGGATAATACCCACACACCATCACGAATAGCAGGATCCCCAGTGACCAAACTGTCGCTGGCTTTGCGTGGTACTTGCAGTCAACATCAAACTCCGGTGGACAGAATATTTCTGTGCCTAAAGGGAAGAGATTTTGATATTTAATGCATATCTACAGCAGGATGTGTTTTGGTGAGTTAAACAACCCGCTAGCAATCATCAAACATACCACTGAAGGCTGCGTAGGTGGAGTCCTTCATGAGTGTGCCGCACTCAAAGTTGATCAACTTGACCTCAAACGTGTCCGGGTTCACCAGGAGGTTCTCCAAATTTATATCACGATGGAAGACGCCACGCTCACAGCAAATGTTAGCGGCATGAATGACCTGCCACATAACATGTCCTGCCATCTTCTCATCGAGCTTTCGTCTGAGCGTCACAAAATTAAACATGCTCATGCTGGGCATGGGTCGCTCCGAGACCATGACGTAGTAGTCCGGGTCGTACCTGCCAGTCCAGGAGTCTGATTATCTGCGGTACGCTGGGGCCCTTATTGGCCATGAGTGTCAGGCCAATCTCTATGGGGAGGTGTTTTGGATGACCAGGCTAAAAGAAAGAAGATATGATGCTTGGATGGAGGTGCTTTCTCAGATTAACATGTTAGAAACGGGAAACAGTGATAATATATAGAGCGCAGTTTACTTACAACTCTGGTGATGTATGGCATATTTGGTGTCTTGTCAACTATTTTCACAGCCACCTGATCAACAAAACAAAGAATTAACAATTAGCATGTGCACAGAGATCATTCCAGTCATGAATACAAAACAGGTATTGAATGTTTTGTATGTAAAAAATGGGAAAAAAAAAAAAAGGAAACCTTTAAGCCATCCTTGCATTGAGTTCCTGCATGCACACAGCCATAGCCTCCTTCAGCCAGCTTGTGGCCGAATTCATATTGCCAAAAAATGTGTCCTATTAAAGGATAAACAAATGTTGAGCATGGATTTTTATGCATTTTATAATTTGTAATTACATTTTACTAATTCTCATATATTTATTATTCGTACTGTTGTCTGGCTCCTCTACTTCATCATCTTCAGTGGAGCAAACTGGATTTTGAACATCCTGAGGTTGGAGCACATCCTGCTCCAGCTGTTCCTCAGGAGCAGGGAGGACTTCAGAGACTGGAGTCAGATACATAATTGGAATGAAATATTGCATATTTAAATTAGAGTGGTTCTTTATTTAGGGGGACTTTTGAAGAACTGGGAATGTGAGAATGTGTGTATTGTTTTAGATTATGACAGTATCTTACCCTTGTCCAGCTCTTCCACTTTGTCAACTATAGAGGAACTAACTGAAGCTTGGACTTCCTGAGGTTGGAGGCTGGAGCTTCATGAAGATCATGGATCTCTACAATAGGGATGTGTTGTAGAGAAGTCTGATCTAAAGTGGGAAATACCAATGATATGAATACAATTTTGCATACTCACATTTCTGTAGTTTTTCAATTGAAGGGCTTTTTTTTTAATTCAAATTTGTACTGACTGATTTGTACTGGCAGTAAATTTACCCTTGTCCAGCTCTTCCACTTTGTCCTCTTCAGTCAAACTAACTGAAGCATGGACGTCCTGAGGTTGAAGGATGTCCTGCTCCAGGTGTTCTTCTACAACAGGGAGGATTTTTTAAAAATTTCTTTAGAAAATCAATATTTCTTTAGACAATGAAATCTATTTCTGACTACTAACTATATTTTGGTAATGACACCTAAAGCTATCTTAAGAATCAGTGTAATTTTATTATCATTGAGATACTATTAGGCTTAATTATTTTACTATTATTTTAGGCTTCGTTTTAATTTTAAGGTTTTATTAATTTCGTTGTGTTTTTGTCATTTTTTGTTAGTTATTGTTTTGTTTGTATAATATTCATTTTTATATCAGATTTATTTTGAGTTATTTTAGTATAGCAACTTAAACTTAATGAAAATAAGAAATGTTGCTTTGACAACTAGTTGCAATGATTTTACGGTTTTAAAATATTTGATTTAATTTCAGCAGACGTTTATATTTAAAGTAACAAATTTTATTTTATGGTTTTAGTTAACTGTAATAGGCTAAAAATCTTAGTCTCATTTGTGATCTTTAAACCGTCACTCTAAAATGTTTGGTGTGAGTCAACAGTATCGGCCAGTGATTTTTTTTTGTTGGACACGAGAACAACAGAAGTTAACCTATACTAACTTATAGAATTTCCCTTTAATCAAAACTTTTATCATTAGGCTAACGTTGCACATGTGATTTTACCATCAGTAAGTCACTAAATCGATCCCGCCTCTCTCTGGTTCCTTTTCTGTGCCTTAGCCACGTTGTATGTTCCTCTTCGGCTAAAATAGTGATGAAGGCCACATCTCCAAAACCTCTTCTTTTTCTCTTGTCTCCCTGCTTCCTTTCTCCCTTCATCTATCCCATCAGCACCAGCAGGTGTCTCGTCGAGCCGATGAGGAGGGTTTCCCGCCGTAATGGGCGGGTATTTGAGCGGTACACACTGTTGGGGTTCGTGTGCACGCTCCACTTTAAACGCTTTCTTTAGTCGTGAAAACAATAGACATAATACCTAGACGCCTCATTGGCCGCTTTGAGCCGTTGCGGCGATACGTCAACGCGTCCGCCATGTTTGTGAAGGCAAGACTGCCTTAAAAATAAATGGAGGTAAACGGAGGAGCTGCGGTTTTTTCTGGATAAAAACACGATAACGTTTACATTTATCAACCGATTTCAGAGGTTTGTGATCTACATGGAGTTAAAAATAACAACTGTTCAGTCCTACCGGTGAAAGATAATACCCCGAGATCTGTTTTTATTATTGTGCGACGGTTTGTAGATGCCCAAGCTGCCGACGAGTCAGGTATGTTTTCGCCTGTCCCGATATGAGAGTTGCCTTCCCTTCTCCAATATGGCAGCGACGTTGACGCGCTGTCGAGCGGCCAATGAGGCGTCTAGGTATTTATTATGTCTATGGTGAAAACAGTCCCATGATAACGCAGTTTTTTTTCACTCTGAAAACAGACTACTCCGAAACTTCAACCAACAAAACGAGCTAGTGAGTTCCAAGCCTTTAAATAGCCTACTAACACGTGACACGTTCTAATTGCGTCGTGACGTCACTTCTGAATAATAACGTTAATATCTAATGTCAACAACACGTGTGTGCAATTGTGTAAAAACTAAATAAATAAATATTTTTAAATAAACCATTTTAAAATAATTTTAATGTCTGATGAATTACCTTTGTTAATTTATTATTATTATTCATTAGGATTTATAATAGAATAAATTATATGTATAATACCATAATAAATAAATTAATAATAGATGAATAATAGCAAGCAGAATATGTAATATCAAGGGTGGAATAATACAGAATAGACAATAATGAAGAAGAAATTAATAGTAAATTATAAAGTAAAATAAAGTTTAAAAAAAACAACATTAGGCTGTGGAAGTATAGCCTACTCTCTTGGAAATGCAGAGAACAGGCTTTCTTCAGCTTTCCTTAAGGCTTGCGTTGTCCTGTTTGCAATTGGCTAAAAAGGGGAGAGGGAGATCTGTTTTTATTATTGTGCGACGGTTTGTAGATGCCCAAGCTGCCGACGAGTCAGGTATGTTTTCGCCTGTCCCGATATGAGAGTTGCCTTCCCTTCTCCAATATGGCAGCGACGTTGACGCGCTGTCGAGCGGCCAATGAGGCGTCTAGGTATTTATTATGTCTATGGTGAAAACAGTCCCATGATAACGCAGTTTTTTTTCACTCTGAAAACAGACTACTCCGAAACTTCAACCAACAAAACGAGCTAGTGAGTTCCAAGCCTTTAAATAGCCTACTAACACGTGACACGTTCTAATTGCGTCGTGACGTCACTTCTGAATAATAACGTTAATATCTAATGTCAACAACACGTGTGTGCAATTGTGTAAAAACTAAATAAATAAATATTTTTAAATAAACCATTTTAAAATAATTTTAATGTCTGATGAATTACCTTTGTTAATTTATTATTATTATTCATTAGTTTAGTTTAGTTTAGTTTAGCAAATCATTGTTGGTTCAATTAAATATTTAAAATTGGCATAGCAATCTCTTCTCTTTTTACCTCATCAAATAAAGAAATAAAGAAATAATTCGGAAAGCAGACGCAACTGTTTATTTAAAACAGTAATACATTAAACACAATAAAAAACACTGAGTTGGCATTTTATCTCATCATTTTATTTAGGCTATCTTATTTTAAGATAAAAACTCTGAATACACATTAGGCTTCATTAACTCCAAAATCAGCAACTGTTGACTTCATATTAAAAAATGGTCAAGCTAATATATGGGATGTGTTCTTTGTGTTTAGTGTACATACTTTTTTCTCTCTTTTTTTGACATTTCTGAATAACACTCTAAAATGTGTCATGAATGAGTTAGGATTTACAGTATGTTGTCTTCTCACATCAAATTCTACCAACATATTTGAGGATGAGTAAATTTGAATGTTTTAGTAAGATTTTTGTTTACTTTTGCAGAACAAAAAGTTTTGATGGGTTGATGGGTATGAATGCTTCTAGTTTAAGAATGGTTATTGAAATAGAGACAAAGATGTCTGCCTGCTGCTGCTTTACTGTCTCCAATTAAACCAAGCAGATCATTCCAGACTCTGGGCATCTTTCATAAACAGTCGGAGAAGGAGTGACCTTCATCCCGGAGGAATTGCTCTTCTCATCTAATCTCAGAACCTCTGGCAGTCTCATCTCTTCTCAGTTTGTTAGACACACAGCACACAGGCGACGCCTGAGAGCACTTGTCCTGTAAAAACACTGCTCGTCAGTCATGTTAACTGGCATGGAGAGCATGTAGTGCCTGTTGACTGTAGAGCGCAGGCGCAGATCACTCTGCTCACTGGAGCGTGTGGAGTGTATCCTGTTCTTTTGTCTCTCCACCTGTCCCGTGCGTAATTTCACTTTCATAATACCGGTGATCGACAAAGGTGCGTGCATTCTTTTATTTCCAGCAAAGATGGGCATGTAAATGGTTAGAATATAAACTTTAAGAAAAACTTTACAATGTTATCGCCTTATGTAACAACTTTAAAAATATTTATCTGTTCATAGAGAACGCCAGCAACTCGTCGTTTTTTTTTGCAGTTATTCCTATTAGGGTAAATACTTAAATTATTACAGTTACCGTTCTTGAATTAGCAAAAATTGTAATAAATTTAGACTATAATAGAAAATAATAGCTGTGACTAATTATCTGAAGTTGAATGCAAATTGTAGGCTATGTTTCTGCTGATTATTATTTTTTTCTATTCACTTACAACTCCTTTGTTACAGTTTTTTATATATATATTTAGTTTGGCTTGCACATAATTATATTTTTAAAAATATGTTGTATGTTTCAATTGTGGATTGAATATGTGTTTAAAATAGTGCTTCCCACTTCAGTTATTTAAATATTCTAGCCTGAGCTGTTCAGAAAGAATTTTTTTTTTTAGAAATTTTACTCTTGCAACACACACACACACACACACACACACACACATGAGTCAAATGTAACCCTGGAACTTCCCAGAGCAGGAAAATGAGATTATAGTGACACACATCTTTTATCTGTAGTTTCTGGGGTGCCTGTGTATCTTTTTTTATTTTTTCTTCTTTGTTCCCACAACCATGCCGTTGTGTTGCTGTTGTGTTACCCCTGACTTGATGTACATATAACTTAATATTGCATCTTTCAAGTTTATCACACAAAATATACAATGTTAAGCAAAAATGTTTTACTTCTTCAGATTTCAGTTTGCAACCCAGGAACTAGAAATAAGAGATTTCTACATGAATATGAATATGTGCATTTTCTTCATTGATCTCTCTGTTCACAGATCTTATGAGAGCTGTGGGTTCACAATCCTGTTGATTCCCAATGGCAGACGGTCTGCCTTCAGGATTACTGGAAGCATGTATCGTTGTTGGACCTGCAAATGATAAACTGAAGGAGCTGTCCCAGGTAAAATAATTTCCTTCTGCGAGTCTTTTTTAAACTGTTATGTGGGGTAAGGCACCGCCTTAACAACAGCGGAGCTCTTTATTTAAAAACATCATGTGCATCAAACATGATGGGACAGGCCCAGAGCTATAGACTATGTGATGGAATTCCTGATTTGGCTGCTTTTTGTTTTCATTTTCAAGTTAACCCATAATTTAACAAATTAAATCTAGTTATTTTATAGAAAATATTAATTATTATTTGATATATAATAATTAGAATAATATATTTTTTAATTTTTAAAAAAGTTAAAAAATTCATAGAAGTTCATAGGAGCAGTTTGTGAAAGGTGCCAAGGTACATACAATTTTTTTTGCACCTAAAAAGTAAATTTTGCTTTAAAAAATGGTATAAAATTATATGTACATTTTCATCAGATTATGTCTCCAATCATATTAGTGGTCTTGAAAATGCATTGTGTCCAATCTTTGCCGCACTTGAATGGAAGTCTTCTACCGCTGCTGGATCCTGAGGTCCTACAGGTCCATGCACCCCCATTTGTGTCTAAAGAGAGTCTCAGTGAACCAGCCGAGAGAAACTTCAGCCAGACCCAGCAACAGCGCTTCTTCATTAAGAAGAAAAATGATAGGCCTGGTATTAAGGCTGGAAACCCCAAAGAAGAAACCACAGAGAACGTTAGTGTTCCCAAAGACCTGGATCTGGTGGCTCTGCCACAACTCTGCTTTCCAGGTAAAACAAATTTTAATGCAAAATCTTGACTAGTTGTTGAATCATGTCAGTGTGTCTGCTGCAACCCTGTTTCATGCAGATCTTCATACATTACACAATATAATACTTGAGAAACAGTTTAAAATCTCTATAGAAAATGGCAAAGGCCAGCTCACAGCAGTATGAAGAGTATAAAAATAAAGGTGTTAACTGACTAAAGAGCAATTCATACTATAAATGTGAAATAGTTCACAGTAGCTGCAACGTTTAGAATGATTAGATTAGACTAACATTAATTTCTTTCTTTTAAATCAGGTGGGCTTCAGATAACTAAGGAGCAAAAGGATGAACAATTTCACTTCCTAGTCTTTACTGACATGTTTGGAAACCAGTCTCATGGAGTAGTTCTCCAGTACTATAGAGCAATACAGGTCAGATTCTTTTTTTTTTATTACCTAGCCTCTCCTTATGGTTGTGTATTGACAGATCACCTGTGCTGAATTTTATCTGCTGTTTATGAGTGTGTACTAAATAACTGTGATAACTGGAAGTTGCTCTAGTTTTTCTTAAAGTTTATTGTACAACCCCAATTCCACAGTAGTTGGGACATTTTGTAAAATTCAATAAAATCAAGAATCTGTGATTTGTTCATTCTCTTTAACTTTTATTTAATTGACAAAAGTACAAAGAAAAGTTTTCCAAAGTTTTCACTGACCAACGTAAATGTATTTTGTAAATATGAGCAAAATTCGTTTTTGACGGCTGCAACACATTCCAAAAAAGTTGGGACAGAGGCAAAATAAAAGTGAAAAGGATATAGAATATCCACATTAAACTGTTTTGAAACAGTTCACCGTAAGCAGGTGAATTGGTAATAGGTCAAGGTATTGTAAGGGTGATTTCCCTACAGTGGTTTAGGCTGTAGGATTGCCGAATGACTAAAGAAACATTATCAGCATGATGGTATGAAACTGTACATTTCTTGTCTATTACCACCCACTGCCACTTATGCCAACGATGGAAATAAGCACAGTTAGAACACGGGCCGTGTCTATAGTGTCATTGTGTCGCCTTTCAATGACGTCATACACCCTTGATTTCCGGTTTTGTTTTGTAGAAAACATGGAAACACCAAAGACGCTTTAATATGTTGTGCGTTTTATTAGACAGGTGACGACCGCACAGAGTAGCATTATAACAGAACTTCAAACATACCTAGTATGATAAAACAGCGCTGCTTTACCCCACATACATACAACCGGAAGGAGCGGAAACGCTAAAATGTGGCATAATAAAAGCTCCGCTGCTTTCGTGCCGTGTGTCACTCTCGTCTCTCATTAGCAATTGCTTCAGCAGCATCGTTTCGCTTCAACGGCTTTCCGCTTCACTCTGCTTCATACTACAATGTTAATAAATCTTTAATACATTAGCTCATCCATGAACATGATTTCTGCCTGAGTCCCGTCGGATTGTGTCAGCTGTGGGGATGAACATGACAACTCCCATGATTCCACACTCAGTCATGGCATCATCAAACTATACGCCTTTGTTTCTTTGTTTGTTTTGAATACGCGCCCTCTAGCAGTGCAAACTTACATAATGCACCTTTAATAGCATGCTTTAACACTTAGCTAAGTGTTGCTAGCATGTTTTAGCATGTTTCTAGCACGTTGCCAGCCTATTTAACACTTGCTGATGCTTTTTAATATGTTGCTAGGAGTCCATAACAGTGTTAAACATGTGACTTCCTGTTGCCAGCAGGTGACGCTATGACTATAACTGAATATGGGCATGGGTATGTGTTCAGGACAGGACTCTTATCAAATTTGTTAAATTTGGGGCAGATTGGACACTGCATTCCTGAGTAACAGCAACTTCCTGTTTCACTGCATTAATAGCATGCTTTAGCACTTAGCTAAGTGTTGCTAGCATGTTTTAGTATGTTTCCAGCATGTTGCCAGCCTATTTAACACTTGTTGACGCTTTTTAATATGTTCCTAGGAGTCCATAACAGTGTTAACCATGACACTTCCTGTTGCCAGGAGGTGGCACTATGACTATAACTGAATATGGGCATGGGTATGTGGTCAGGACAGAACACCTATCAAACGTGTGAAGTTTGGGGCAGATTGGACATTGCTTGCCTGAGTTACAGCAACTTCCTGTTTCATAGCGAAACATCAAACTTTGTCAGGCCGCCAGGGACACGCCCTTTGGCGAAAACTCAAGATCTTCGCAATTTAACGTCACAAAGGCCTTATGATAACCCTCACAAAATTTGAATATGATCCAATTAAAACTGTAGGAGGAGTTCGTCAAAGTACGATGCCTGGAAATGGCAAAAACTGCAGGAAACAGGAAATTCAAAATAACATACTTCCTGTTGGGTTTTGGATTTTGTCCCAAGAGACTTTTTTGTAGGTAATGGTGTGTTACATGTCTGTACCGATTTTCGTACATGTAAACGTAGCTCGAGGCGCACTCCATTGAATGTGTACAGGTGGCGCTATCGAGCCATTTTGCCACACCCACTTCTGAAACCCATATCAGTTCTGACGCATGTGCAAAGTGAGTTTTGTGTGAGTTTTCGAGCATGTTTAGGCCCTCAAAAATGCGATTCACTTTGGAGAAGAAGAAGAAGAAGAAACGGAGCAATTCCAATAGGGTCCTCCTCACACCATCGGTGCTCGGGCCCTAAATATGCCCTATTTGGTTATTCAAAGTAAGACATAGGTCATATTAGGACAATGGACATATTAGGACAAAGTAGGACATCGGACATGCATGGATCATGAATTCCGTCACATTATAGAATATAGCTGTCTGTTTATATAGAATATGAACCATGTTTCATACATATTTAGGATACACACACGCACACACACACACACACACACACACTCACAAACACACATATGAATATAATTTGTTTTAAGGTCCCAAAATAAAACTAATATCATTGATTAATGTAATTGAAATTGCGATTTGGAGTACCTTCCAGACTATATGGTGGTGTTCTGATGATGCAGTTTTGATTAAGGCACTGACATATTCAAAAGTTTTGTTTTAAACACTGTTATACAGGAAGGGATGCAGAATGGACATCAGTCCTTGTACAAGTCTCCGCAACTCTACATTGCTTATGCAGTATGTGTTATATCAAAACACCCATATTACAATGCACTCAAAGACTGTCTGTCTAGGTAAGATTCAAGATATTTATTCAGATTTATTGAAAAATAATAAAATATTTGGGAGACCGAGGAGAATATATAACAAGAGGTTTATCAGCAGTACTAGATTCTGCTATACTGTCTTCATAAAATACTCAGTTTGTCCATCCTATAAGAAACACATTTATTAGCTGAATTAAAGCAGGAAACTACAAACAAAAGAGCTTGTTTTGATATCACTGCAGAGCTACAGTATTCACACTTTTTAGAGAATTCAACCTACAATTGCCTGTCGTAGTTGTATATTACAGTAAACTGATATAGGAGAAAGCTGTTTAATATCTAAAATGACACACAGCACCTTTTCTTCCATTTCCTGAGTTTTCACTTTCCCATCCGCAGCCTCTTATTTCAGCTCAAAATCTGTCAAATGACTGATATGGAAGAGCAAGTGAGGGAGTTCTCTGCTAAACTGGCTCTAGTCCCAGTTCCTCCTCCTGGTCAACTGTATGTGGTGGGTTCTTTTAGGCATCTAAAGTTTAGCAAAATTAGAGAAGTGAAATGAAATTGTAACAACGTGAAAAAGTCTATGATATGTTATAATGTAAAGACAAAATACATAATACATGTGAAGTACATTTACATTATTTTTCATGTCAGATGTTCACCTTACGACCTCTGACGATTGTCCTTCCATCCAGAGAAGATAAATATCATCCTGTTATCGACCTGGACTTACATCTTCCACTCCTCTGCTTCAAGTCCAGAGAGCTGCTGCAGGTCAAATGCTGATGACTTAATATGAAAACAACAAAAACTGAGGGGTTTTCTTTGTTAGCAGTTTGAGTGAACACAGACGGTCTGGAAATCCAAACCAGTCCATTTTAGAAGAAAAAAAATGTAAAATTGTAATTATAAATGGATGAACTTTTTGATTAAACAAAAATGTTACTGAAAGTTTTGGTCCACATCACATTGGAAAAATGTTTTATGTTTCTGTTCCCCTGCAGATCATAGCCTGTATACTCACAGAGCAGTGTATGGTGTTCTTTTCCTCGGACTGGGCCAAACTGACCCTGATCGTAGAGTGTCTCATGCTGTATATTTGGCCCCTGCACTGGCAGCACCCACTGGTGCCTATACTGTCTCAACATATGCTTGACTTTGTTATGGCACCGACTGCCTTCCTCATGGGATGCCACATCAGCCATTATGAGGACGTTGCCAAGGTAAAGCCTAAATAATGGTCCCTATTATCCCATAAGGCTGTTCTTTAGTTCTGGGTTTTTCAAATTGGGGTCCACATGCAATGGGGTGATAGAGGGTCTGGGGAAAATCTGAGTGGACAAAAAGCTTTTAATGGTTTCTATTGATGACATTTTTATTATGTATTAAAATGTAACTTAATGCAAAACATCATATTTGATCATTTCTTTTATCTTTAGTACAATACCCTTTAAATTATTCATTTTAAACTATTAATATTAATTTAATTAATTAATTTTAAATTAGTTAATTAAATTATAAGAAGTTTTATTTTTAATATTACGATTAATATTTTCACATAGTATAATTGTGTATTTAAAGATGCCTTTATGTTGGTTCCCTTTAGGAACATAATTTTCCCTTGCAATTTTTGAAAACCTGAAATTTGAAAACCCCTGCTTAAGTTCATATAAAATGTATTTATTTATTTTTTATTTAGTTATTTATTTATTTATTTATCTATCTATCTATCTCAATTAAAACCGTCACTAGCTAACTTTAATATGTGACCATGGACCACAAAACCAGTCATAAGGGTCAATTTTCTGATATTGAGATTTACACATATAATGAATAAATAAGCTTTTCATTGGTGTAGGGTTTGTTAGGATATGGCAATATTTGGCCGAGATACAACTATTTGAATATTTGGAATCTGAGGGTGCAAAAAAATCTAAATATTGAGAAAATCGCCTTTAAATCTGTCCAAATGAAATTCTTAGCAATGCATATTACTAATCAAAAATTACGTTTTAATATATTGACAGTAGGACATTTGCAAAATATCTTCATGGAACATGTTCTTTACTTAATTTCCTAATTATTTTTGGCATAAAAGAAAAATTTATCATTTTGACCCATACAATGTTTTGTTGGCTATTGCTACAAATATACGTGTGCTACTTATGACTGGTTTTGTGCTCCAGGGTCACATATGTTGAGAAATTCATGATTTTTACTTAAATCAACAGCCTGTTGACTTCAGAGATTTCTGATCTTTGAAATCATTGTCTGTTTATCAGTTAACTGATGACCTGATTCTGATCGATATTGACGAGGGAACCGTGTCCTGCTCTGGCTGTCATCACGTTGACGTCCCTGACACCCCACAGGCAGCTGCTCAGCGTTTCAAGTGTCGGTAAGAAACATTTAACCATTAAATGCAGTCTTGCTAACTCTAAGAATCTTCATTGAAATAATCAAAATATACAAGATATTAATAAACTCACATTATCTGACCCGGCTGGTGAGACCAGGGGCCTGTACCATGATGGTAGTTGAACAAACGCAGGTTTACAGGATTAGTTTCAAGCTGACAAATCCAAAAAATTCAATCAGACTTTTTTGGTACCATGATGCTGATCGTCAAATTTCAGCCAACAGACTTTGATCTTTCAACTAATCCTCCACTCCATACATATGAAATGGATTTAAGGGTACAATAATTATCCAAATAATGGTGCAATCTAAACGGAAACTTATCTGCTAAAGCCAGCTAAACCGGCTTCATGGTATATATGACCCAGGTCCCGTTATATAATTAACTGTCATGTATTTGCCAGATTTTTCATTGTTTTTCTGTATCTTCATGTAGAAGGAAAGGTCTTCAATTACACTATGACCTGGAAGTGGTTCATCAGAGAATCTGTAGCAATCTTAATGAGCTGCGGATGCAGAGAAAGCTCTGGCAACACAGGCTCAATTTGGAAATACAAAACATCACCCTGGAGCTCATCGTTAACATGTTTAGGTCAGTAATAAGAGCCTGTGCAGAAAACTAGAACTGACTTTGAATCTTCTACGCATGTATAATTAAAATAATGCTTCTTTTTCAAGAGATGTCAGTGATTACCTTAATATCGAACACAGAGTTTTTAACACTGATGAGTTTCTGAAGACCAGGGAGCCAGGCGACCAGCCATTTTATAAAAAGGTGACTTTATATTTAAAAATATGTCTGGTCTTCAACCTTTAGAAATAGAACTGTATGACTGATGGCTTTTTATTCATGACAGGTCTTGGAAACACACATTTTCCACTCATTCTTGAAAGAACGTTTGAATGGAAAAATAGATCAATTTACCCAAATGGAGCTTAGTTCTCAGACAGAAGACCAAAAGTAAGTTGTTTTGTGAACTAATACTTTTATTCAGCAACAAGGATGCATTAAATTAATCAGAAGTGACAGTAAAGATATATATTTCAAATATATGTTGTTCTTCTGTTTAATAATTTGTTGTCAATTTCTGTAGATTGAGTAGATCGATGGATTACTCACGCAGACCCACTATAAAGGAAATAGTTTCGCGAAATGGTTCTTTAGACAGCGGTTTGAGTGAACGCTTGGGCTCAAGTCTCCCTGACTTGGACAACATGAAACACCTGAGTGTCCTCAAACAGATGTCTCCAACTAAGATCATTCCTGATAAGCGTAAGAGAAATGCAGTATACTGGAATGCATTGGCACAGCTGTTTTGTGTTTAGATTGATATATTTATGTTACTAATCATCCTTGTCCCAAAAGCTATGAATATACCAGTCAGGCCAGTCAAGATCTTCCAGCTTCCAGAATTCCCTTCTCCATCGAACCACCCCAACATACTCCATTACTTTGGAGATCTTATCCTCCAGCTGAACAAAGTCATATCAGCTGCACCACCTCAGGATTCCTCCCTGCTAGCAAGATACTTGTACCTGCGCGGCATCATCAACATGCTGAGTTCTAAGCGCTTGGATGCCCTCAGCGACTTCCAGGACCTCTACAAAACAGATATTGAGATTTTTCCTGGAGAGCTGGTGAAGACACTGGTGGACTCTCTGCAGAACGAGGAGAAAGTCCAGGCAGAGAAGAGATCTGAGCTCAAACGGCTCATCTGTCAGGTGAAGAACAATGAAAAGAGCGAGCATGGGGAATCGGACTATCACGTGAAGAAGTTCGAGCTGCCCAAGAGCCCCATGCAGCTGGAGGAGTTTGTGAAGTGCACTCAGCAGTCTGGTATTGTGCGGGACATGGCCACTTCACAGAGACTGTTTGAAGCTCTCACTGTCGGTAAGTTTGAGCTGTAGTGTGTCATTGTATAAAACCATTAGAGATGCGAAATATTACCATATAAGTTGGTCAGTGTTTAGCATACACTGCCGTTTGAAATTTTGGGATCAGTAAGATTTTTAATGTTTAAAAAAAAAAAAAAACAGTTTCTTATGCTCATCAAGGCTGTATCTATTTGATCAAAAATACAGAAAAAACATTGTGCTGCTTAATATTTTTTTTGCATCTGTGATACTTTTTTCAGGATTCTTTGATAAATAAAAAGTTAAAAATAGAAATTTAGTGTTACAGTATACACTACTATTCTAAAGTTTGATGTCAGTACATTTTTTTCTTTCTTTTTTTAAAGAATTTTTTTCTATTCTATTCTATTTTCAATAAATGTTGTTCTTTTTAACCTTTTATTCATGAAAGATTTAAAGGAAAAAAGTATCACAGGTTCCAAAAAAATATTAAGCAGCACAACAGTTTCAACACTGATAATATTTATCAATAATGTATTTTTGATCAAATAAATACAGCCTTGATGTGCATAAGAGACTCCCTTAAAAACTTTAAAAATCTTACTGATCCCAAACTTTTGAACAGCAGTGTATATCGGCAATTTAAAATGCCTATTCTGTCTACTAAAGCTGTCTTCTGTATTATTTTTAAAATTTATATTTAATGTTTAGCAAACCTCAAATTAATATTAATTTTCAAATTCTAATATATTTTTCATAAAATTTAATTCTCACATTTTAAAAATTTATAATCTGTCAACTATATATTTTAATTTTGCTTGTAGTATTTTATTTTTTAATGTATTTACGTAGACAAAAGTAAGTAATAAAATAAATAAAAATATAAAATAAATATTAATTAAATGGGTCATATGATGCTGCTAAAAGGAACATTATTTTGTGTATTTGGTGTAATGAAATGTGTTTATGCGGTTTAAGGTTCAAAAAACACATTATTTTCCACATACTGTACATTATTGTTTCTCCTCTATGCCCCGCCTTTCTGAAACGCGTCGGTTTTTACAAAGCTGAAAAATAAAATAAAAATATTCTGCTATTTACTGTGATATTATGTAAAATAATTTGTTACAATATATTTGTTCTTCTCAGGTGGGCCGATGCATATTCATCCAGAGATGTTCAGAGTGTTTTATAACTTCTGGAAACAGGCAGAGGCAGAAGCACAGGACATTGACCTGCCTGCTGAGGTCCTGGAACGCCTAGACAACAGTGAGTGTGTGTACAAGCTGTCCAGCTCTGTGAAGACTAGTTATGGCGTTGGTAAAATCGCCATGACTCAGAAAAAGCTCTTTCTGCTGACCACAGGCAGATGTGAATACGTTGAGATTACCAAGTTTAGGGACATTGAGGTTTGTGAGTCTTGCAATATTACTTTTAAAATGACAAGGTAGTGTTTGGGGTAACCGTATGAATCCTGTGAACCCAGGAAGTAAAGATCTCCACTGCTTCATTCCCGCTTTTGAGGATCCCATCTCTAAAGATCAAGAACAGCCGAAGGAGAGAGATATTTGAGGCTAATTTAAAATCTGAGTGTGAACTGTGGAACCTGATGGTCAAGGAGATGTGGGCTGGGAGAATGATGGCAGACAACCATAAGGTAAAGTTCACCCGTACTGTGAAATATCTAAAGCTGGAATCAAAACATGAAATATAAAATCAACCATTTCTTGCCAGCTTAATAATAGAATAAAATATACATACCGTTCAAACGATGGGATACTGTTTTCAAAAGAATGTTCACAAAGGCTTTATACACTGTATTTGTTTGATCAAAATACGGTAAAAACAGTAATACTGTCAAAAACAATTGTTTTATATTTTAATACATTTTAAAATGTAATTTATTCCTGTTATGGCAAAGCTGAATTTTCAGTGTACCGTGATCCTTCAGAAATAATTCTGATATGCCGATTTGTCACTGAAGAAAATACTTATTGTTATCAATGTTCAAAACAGATTTGCTGCTTAATTTTGTGGATACATTTTTTCAGGATTCTTTGTTGAATATAAAGTTAAGAAAACTATCTTTTATTTGAAATATAATTTTTTTGTAACAATGTAAAAGTATATCACTTTTGATCAATTGAATGTGTCCTTGTTGAATAAAAGTATTAATTAATTTAACAAAAAATCTTACTGACCCCATATTTTTAACTGGTAAGGTATTAGAGATTCAAATAATTAAAATGATCTTTTGACAACTTGATGAACAAGGAAATTATACTTTAAAAAGATAAGAAATTAATTTATATTGCTTCATAAATATGTCCTGCAGCAAATAGAAAACTGTTAATTTAGGAATTTGCAGTTGTTTCTAACAGTAGCAGGGTGTGTTTAGGGTGTCTACTGACAGCTGACAAAATAATGCAAGTTTTCACAATCACATACATGCTTTGATATGCCCTACTAGTTCATTCCTATTTCCTGCTATTAGATAAACACACACTTCACTAGATGTACATTGTTCAATGTGTGTTTTTTATTAAGTTTTCAAGTTTCTCTTTCTCTTTCTTTGTTTGAGGAGATGACTGTTATTCCTTTTCTAGATCCCTGTATGTTTCAGCCACAAATGCACAAAGTACTTTAGTTTGTGATGAGTGAACTCTTCTGTTTATCAGGACCCCCAGTATGTGCAGCAGGCACTGACCAATGTCCTGCTTATGGATGCAGTGGTGGCCTGCTTACAGACACAGAAGGCTGTTTGTGCTGCCTCCAAATTGGCCTATTATGAAAAGCAACGGCAACAAGGTGTGTCTCACTCCCTACCTGTATGATGAAAACAAGACTCTATTAAAGTCTCTTGTCTTCATTTCCACAGTGCCCATGATCATCCCCAGACCCACAGCAGAGGCTCTGAAACACAAGATCAATCCGTCCCAGAACATGACGAACCCTCAGTCTGTCGATGTCTTGCTCTACACTCCAGGTCTGCATGCAGGAGTATTTGGAGAAATAGTTAAAGGGATAGTTCACCCAAAAATTACAATTCTGTCATGCATACATATACTTCGTAGTAGACATCCTTAACTCCATTCTGCTGTCTGTTGTTGGTGTTTCTTTGTCTGAATATGGCACTTATCACATGCTGTGTGGTATCGGCGTTTGGTATCGGGGCATTTTAACGAGTACGAGTACAGCTGAGTATCGGGCCCGATACCGATACCAGTATCAGATTAGTATTGTCAGATTATGATATGCATTATTTCAGTTTAAAAATTCATCATTATACACATTAAAAGTTAATCATACTGGACAAAGCTACATACTATTTTGAATTGAGCATGTGCATGTTATCAAAATGAAAGTTTTCCAGTGGCATGTGAATGTGTACAATTCTTGGTCTGTTTGTTAAGGCAGCGTCACATGACAATTTCAATGGTGTGGAATTGTCCAATTAGCATTTGTGGAACTGCTGAGCAGGAACAAGGGGAGCAGTGGGGAGATTTGACCTAAATGCTACTCCACATGCTCCCCACTTGAAAGTCTTCAGATAACCCAAATTTAAGCCTCGACTTGGAGTATGTAGCAAATTAAATTGAATTATGTAGTCAAGGATTGCTATAATGCCTGTGTGCTTAGATCCCAAGCAGAATAGCAATACATTTGTTTATCAGTTTAAATTATTATTGTAATTATTTTAGAAACGAAAGGACTGGTTTGGATTTATATTTTGGAAAACACCTAAATGGGAATTTGGAGCTTTTTTTTAAGTTATATATATAAACTGTGTTTGTGTAAGGTTTAATGATAAATAACTCTTTTTAACTTCTTCCAGGCCAGTTAACTTTCCCAGACAGAGATGTGGATGGAAACCCTAAGCTCTGGTGTGCCCTCAGCTGTGGGAAAGTGGTTGTGTTTGATGCTGTCAGTTGGTCCCTGAAGCAAAACTGCATTCATTTAGGAGAATCTCGACTGGTAAGATGCTGCTATTTGATTTTAAGATTATGTCATTTGATTTAATATATGTGACCCTGGACCACAAAACCAGTCTTAAGTCGCTGGGGTATATTTGTAGAAATAGCCAAATATACATTGTATGGGTCAAAATTATTGATTTTTTTTGTATGCCCAAAATCATTAGGATATTAAGTAAAGATCATGTTCCATGAAGATATTTTGTAAATTTCCTACTGTAAATATATTCCAGGGTCACATATTAAAGATGATAGAAAAGTTCAGCAAATCTGATGTTTTCTGTATGTAGTGACACACTGCAGTCAGCAAGAATTTGTTTTTCAAGTAACAGACCCCTTCATCTTTTTCTTTTTGCCACAGTAAATTGTGTTTGATGCCACCTTGTGGATTGGAATCTGGTTGCAGCTTTGTTTTCCAGTGTCTTATACTTCTGGCTGTAGTTGTTGGATCTGTGGAAGAGTGAAAATTAAAGTGTAATTCTGTAAGATTTCAAACAGCAGTCTTTTTTTTTTTTGTGCCCAGAACTGCATGATGGGATTGGACCAGGAGCAGGTGTGGATTGGTTCTCAGGACTCCGTCATTTACATAATCAACACTTGCAGTATGCTGTGCCATAAACAGCTGACTGAGCACCGTGGAGAGGTCACAGACTTCGCCCTGGAGAAAATGAACCCTGAGAACAGATCAAGGTGAGTATTGGACAGTAGCAACATATCCTGGCTGCGGTTGGATCAGACCAACTGCATTGTGATCATTCTTTATCTAAAGTTATATATAAAAGCTATATATAACATATATACACACATTTTAATTATATATTTTATTATTTATTAGTACATTTTGTTTATTATAGATAGATCAAAAATAAAGATAAATATTATTTACTCCAAAAATACAATTAACCGTGTCACCAGTAGGTGGCAGCATTGTTTGTGATATTTTCTGTATATTTGGCAGCTGAGATTGAGAGTAGAGATCACAATATGAAGAAATATCATTTTGATGTGTTCTCCAAGCCAAGCACAGGTGTATTCCTGTAGTGCAGATGGCACTGTGATCATTTGGGACGTCCCTTCTCTGAAGGTGAAGAGGCAGTTTCATCTGTCCTGTGACAGACTGCAGTTCATTCAAGTTTACAATGATGCCTTATGGTGTGGTAAGTTTGTCATCAGCCTGGCAAAACTGTCCAAAACTGTTGTTAACTAGAAGCTCTAATTCATAGTATAGAGTTTTTACATACAGTTTACAAAAAGTATTCAGATGGCCATTTTTTCTGAGGATTTTCTTTTTTCTTTTTTTGGCAATGGATAGCTTGACATTATTGAGGTTAATCAGGATATATATTATTTAATTTAAATGTAGCATGTGTTTGTTGTTTGTGAAGGTGCTAGGGATTGTGTCATGAAGCTGAGTCCCAGTGGAGCTCTGCTTTGTAAGATTTCCCTCCCAGGTGAAGTGAAAACCACATCCTTCAGCAGGGTCGCACTGCTTATGGAGGTTTGTATCATCTTTACTGTCTTCTCACAGTATCAGCTGTAACCAAATATGACCCCTAAATATGATGATCCCCCTTCTTAAAATACACACACACACACACACACACACACATATATATATATATATATATATATATATATATAAAGTTCCATTATACGGTATAAATGGGTCTTTATACATAAATACAAAAGGCATGTTTTAAATTATAAGTCTTTATTTATAATTCTATCTAGTGAGTATTTATGGTATCTCTGTGAATGTGATGTGTTGCAACTTTATGTTGTTTTTTAGTGTGTAGTTTTTCCCTGCTATTTGCACAAACACAATTGACACCCAGACAGTCAGAGAGGTCAGCCATGTCACTAAATGGTATGAATTGCATAAAATTATAATGTGCTCAGATATAATCAACGATCTCAGGCTCTTGTTATGTGTTTTTATAGAAAAGACAGATCTGGACAAGTTTCACAGACTCAGCAGAGCTTTGTGTATGGGACTCCAGCGACCCCGTCAAACCACCTAAATGGGTCATACTCCCCAACTGTAGTGGGGTCACCTGTATGATCAGAGTGAAAGATCAGGTAAGATGTAACCTTTTACATGACATTTCCATGGTCATACCATATATATATATATATATACACACACACACACACACAAGACATGGTCTCCTCTTTCTCTTTCTTTAGGTCTGGATTGGTTGTAGTGGTGGGTCAGGCCTCAGTAAGGTTGTGGGGAAGATCTTTGTGTTGGACTCTGAGAGCCTGATGGTTGAGAAGGAGCTTGAGGCCCATGAAGACACTGTTCAAACTCTCTTCTCAGCAGAGGACCGATACATACTCAGCGGCTCTGCAAAACGTGATGGCAAAATCGCCATCTGGAGAGTAGATATATATATATATATATATATATATATATAAAGTTCCATTATACGGTATAAATGGGTCTTTATACATAAATACAAAAGGCATGTTTTAAATTATAAGTCTTTATTTATAATTCTAATAAGTGAGTATTTATGGTATCTCTGTGAATGTGATGTGTTGCAACTTTATGTTGTTTTTTAGTGTGTAGTTTTTCCCTGCTATTTGCACAAACACAATTGACACCCAGACAGTCAGAGAGGTCAGCCATGTCACTAAATGGTATGAATTGCATAAAATTATAATGTGCTCAGATATAATCAACGATCTCAGGCTCTTGTTATGTGTTTTTATAGAAAAGACAGATCTGGACAAGTTTCACAGACTCAGCAGAGCTTTGTGTATGGGACTCCAGCGACCCCGTCAAACCACCTAAATGGGTCATACTCCCCAACTGTAGTGGGGTCACCTGTATGATCAGAGTGAAAGATCAGGTAAGATGTAACCTTTTACATGACATTTCCATGGTCATACCATATATATATATATATATACACACACACACACACACAAGACATGGTCTCCTCTTTCTCTTTCTTTAGGTCTGGATTGGTTGTAGTGGTGGGTCAGGCCTCAGTAAGGTTGTGGGGAAGATCTTTGTGTTGGACTCTGAGAGCCTGATGGTTGAGAAGGAGCTTGAGGCCCATGAAGACACTGTTCAAACTCTCTTCTCAGCAGAGGACCGATACATACTCAGCGGCTCTGCAAAACGTGATGGCAAAATCGCCATCTGGAGAGTAGATTAAACAAGCTGACACAACTTGATTGTAAGTTTTATCAGCTTCATAAACAGGTGCATCAGTATATGTGACATGCAAGTTGTTCCTTAGCGGTCTAAACTTAGGGGAAGAGATGTATACGCAGTTTCCCTTAAAAAGTGTCATGTAATCCCATTAGGCTTTGGTGAGAAGAGCTGTTTATACTGGTTTTGATTGGAGTTAGCCAATGATGGCACTATGACAACCAACTAGAGTATCCTGAAGGTTGCAAAAACTTATCATAAGAGAGTGAAACAACTACTTACTACAAGGCTTTTTTTTCTACAAATAGTCCTATGTTAAGAACGCTAAGATCTCAACGGTCGCTGTGGAAATATATTTTTGTATTGCCTGAGTATAAGCAAAGCTGTAAAATATCAATAAGTTTATTATATCTTTTGGAATTAATTTGAAAGCTTTCAGTCTTTTGAGAGCTGTTCTTATTCCAAGAAAGCTGAATATAGAATCGGGTGAGGTTTGTGGAGCTGCCATGTACACAATTTCCTGAAAAGCCCTGGATCAAAGGGAATTGAGGTCCAAACACCAGCACTGCCTGAGGATGGACTGCAGCCATAATGAGTAGATTGTGTAACAGTGTGCCAGTCCTTGTGGTGTCGCTGGAGTGGCTTGTAAGATTGTATGAAACCCTCTTTGATAGACACTACTGTCTCGGTTTTTGTTATTGTAGATCTGTATTTATTTTATATCTGAAATGTTTTAGGGAATCTCACACATGCCTGGGTTGTGTTAAATATCTTGTTTTTTTTGCTTCTTCTTTTTATAATTGCATTAAAGGGTTAGTTCACCCAAAAATGAAAATTAGCCTGTGTTTTACTCACCCTCGAAGCATCCTAGGTGTATGTGACTTTCTTCTTTCAGACGAATCCAATTGGAGTTATATTAAAAATTGTCCTGGCCCCTCCAAGCCTTTCAATGGGGGTAAGCGGGTGTTGGTTGTCAATAGTTCAGAAGACGTGAAATAAAGTGCGCGCATCCGTAATAAAACGTCCCTCACACGGCTCCGGGGGTGAATAAAGGCCTCCTGTTGCGAATTCATGCATTAAGATAAATATCCATATTTCAAACGTAATAAACACTTTTTTCTCACTTCCGCTGACTGTCGTATGCGGAAGTCGTACAGGCGGATACAGTAGAACACAGGCTAATTTTCATTTTTGGGTGAACTAACCCTTTAAGTAAAAATTAAATAAAAATGTAGATTTTTTTTTTAAAGATACATTATAGGCCTGGCTTAAATTGTGCTTGCATTTTAACAATATGTGACCCTGGACCACAAAACCAGTCATAAGTAGCAATAGCTAACAATACATTGTATGGGTCAAAATTATCCATTTTTCTTTTATGCCAAAAATCGATATTAAAGGTATTAAAATAGGATATTAAGTAAAGATCATGTTCCATGAAGATATTTTGTAAATTTCCTAGCGTAAATATATCAAAATTAATTTGTGATTAGTAATATGCATTGCTAAGAACTTCATTTGGACAACTTTAAAGGCGATTTTTCTCAATATTTTGTTTTTTTTCTGCACCCTCAGATTTCAGATTTTCAAATAGTTGTATCTCGGCCAAATATTGTCCTATCCTAACAAACAATACATCAATGGAAAGCTTATTTATTCTTTCAGATGATGTATAAATGTCCATTTCAAAGAATTGTCCCTTATGACTGGTTTTGTGGTCCAGGGTCACATATTTTATTGGCAGTTAAGCATGTTTCCCTAAAATTCTCATTACTGCATGCAAAAAATATCATTTATGTAGTAATGTAATTATATCGTCCTATCTATTATACTGTTTTTGTGCAAAAATAAGAATAAATTCAGTACAGCATCAGTAATAATGCCCTTGACTTCTTTTTCTTACAAATTATAATTTCTCACAAAAAAATATGTATTTTCTTCTTCTGATTTTGAGGTATATATATATATATATATATATTAATATGTTACTGTTAAACTACTTTTTACGGTTTTAAAAATAGGAGGGAGGAAATATGTTGTGTATTTACGAAACGCAAATTGTCCCTTCTGTGTTCCTATACCCTCCTATGTTACGTGATGTGTACGAAAACGGCGTAAGCTTTGGAGTAGTGCTTTAAAGGGAAATAGTTGAACGCTCACTCCCGTCTCACATGTATTCTTTAGAAAACACAAAGTAATATATAACAGTGATGTACAGAATCATATTTTTAGGACAAAAATGTGCTTTACAAGTTTCATTAGATTAATTTCCCTTTGTACCAGAATCTCCTCCTATATCAGCCTTTTTTCCCCCATTGAAAACAGATTATTGAATGTCACACCTTAAAATAGCAGTACTGATGTGGAGTCTGTGTTTGTCTTTAATATTCAAATAAATATGACTTAATAAACATGGAGCTGTTCTGCAACAGCCCCTCCCGCTCTGGAGGTGTTTGCAGAAGGGGCCCTTGGCTGGATTTCTGCCGCCCATGCAGAGGACAGTGATTGGCTGATGTGTAACTTTCTGACCCTGGGGTCAGCCATCTAACTGTCAGACGTCATTGGAAGGAATTTTGGGGATGTGTCTGGAAGACAAAGCCAGCACACATCCATCCTGTCCCTAAGTCCCTGGAGTGTGTGTGTAGGCGTGCA